CACTGGACCAGCTAGAGACACCTGCTCTCTTTGTGAAAATGACACTGCTCTGTAAGCACTACCTGGACACAACCACCAGACTGCTCATTCGTGGACTTCTACATCTCTTTTAGAGAAATGTGTACTGAGATCATATGCCCCTTCTTAAATGGAGATTTCTCTTTAGAATCAACTTACAAGGTCTACAAAAATTCCAAATGTCTCTCTCATGACAGACATGATTTGCAGTGCTTTTCTCTCACTCAATGATTTGTTCCATTCACTTTCTCGATCCTGTCATTCAAAATTCAAAAGTTACTAATTGTAAAATGTATACTTATATTTTTATTTGTTGCTCATGACATGGCATCTTCTTTAAGAGTTCACTGTCAGGTATAATATATGAAGGTTTAGCCTTACAAGTTATTCAATGAATTTCATACTTTGAGATTTTCTTTAAATTCTGCAATCCACTGAGTTGTATATTGTAGTACTGTGAGGTAGCATCCAACTCAGTCCTACTGTTAGTGGACAGATGGTTGCTGAGCAACAATTGTTAATGATGTGTTTGTTTCCCAAAAACAAGGGTGTTACTATTTTTCAGAAAGTCAGATTTTTATGGGCATTTTTATTTCAGCACGATTAATTCTATTTCATTGATTCCTATGCCTGTTATTGTACAAGGACCTCACAATTGTTATTAATATTTATTTGTAGAAAGTTTTAAAAAGAAGACTGTTTTATCTTCTTTCAAGTGATTTTTTTTTATTTTGTGTCTCTGCTAATTCCATAACAACTCCAACAGCACTTTGACAAGTTTTCACATTTTGTTTTGGGTTTGCTTGTTGTGTTTTTTTTTTAGGCAAGATCTTCCTGTGTAGTCCAAGTAAGACTTAGTTCCCAGTGTAAAATTGGCTGCCATCTTTCTTTCTCAGGCTCCTAAATTCTGGGCTCCAGGAAGAAGTGCATACCTTCAGCCAGCTCAGTTTATCAACTTCTGCACAAAGGTCACCTCGCATTATAAAAGGTATTCATTGGTCCTATCCAATAATTTGGCAGAATTTCCATCATAACCTTACATCTACAATATGACCATTGAATTATCTTACATCTATTTACAGATTTTTAAATGTGTTCTGCAGCATGTGTATCCTTCAAAAAACAAGTCTGACATTCTTTGCTTGCCTTTTTCAATGGCATATTTTTCAACAGTACTGAAATAAGAATTTGTGAAAGTGATGTTTGAATCTATATCACAGGGTATTGCTTTATGAATGATGTTTGTGTATTTATCTTGTATCCTGCAACAATTTATACACATGAATTTGTTTCAATGGTAATTTAATAAACCTTGGGATTTTCTATGCACAAGATTGTGTCCTCCACAAGCAAAGACCACTGTACTTCCTCCTTCACCATCTGGCTCTGTTTCCTTCTTGGACATCCCCAGCAGCACTTCACAGCCCTCGGGACAGTGGGATCCAGCCTGCTGAGCCTGGACCTCTCCGGCCTCTTCCACACCTCAGAGTAGAGCACCTGTCTTCTCAGGGAGTGGGCTGCTAGCTCAGGGATCTGGTACAGGCTCTTATCACATCCAGCAAAGTGACCTCCTGCACTCACTTTACTGCTTTGGCCAAGAAACAAAACTTGACTTTGGGCATGTGCTTCCTCTGCACCTGCTGATAGCATTCATGGACTGGTTTCTTATTTTATTGATCTACACTTTCACACTACTTGATTTTGGGTGCTAGGGCAATCTTCCCTTCATTGCATATATTGTGTTTCATCTTGGTACATTGTTCTTTTCTAAGCACTTAGACTCAACTTGCTACTGTAATGTTGAGGACTTTTGTGTCCATATTCATCTGTAATATCACACTGTACTGTTCTATTTCTGTAGTATCTTTGATTTTCTGCCTCACTGAAAATGGTGTAGTATTGAGATAATACTGTCCTCAGTGAAAAAAGTCAGAAATGTTTCTCCTTTTTCTGACATAGGAGGAATTTCTGAAGAAATATATTAATTATTCTTTAAAATGTATAGTAAAATACAATGAAGACATTAGGACTGAGTATTTATTTCTAAGTAGGTTTTTAAAATTAAAACTCTATTTTCTCAATGGTTAATCCTCTCAGTACATTCTTATTTCTTTTTGGTTTATATTTGGTAATTTGTGGCCCTCTTGGAATTCGACTATTTCATTCATTTTATTTTTCTCGTACATTTTTCCATAGTAATTCTTTTTTTTTGTACCAAGGATCATACTCAGGACCTCGTGCCTTCCAGGCAGGCACTATGCTGCTGAGCTACATCCCCAGCCCTCCATAGTAATTCTTTTAATACTACTTTTGTGATTTCAGAAAGAATTTTATTTTTTCTTACTCAAGAAATTTAAACCTCTTCTATTTCCATTATCAAAGTAAAGTTTCATACATTTTGTATAGCCAGATTTTTACAATGATATTCTCCTTTATTTTTTCTATGTTGTTTTCATATTTCCTCTATGATCTTTTGTCCATCTTTAATTTTTATTTTAGACTTAGTTTTTTCTTTTTAAAGATTCTTAGGTATATAGTTAAATTATGAGAAATAGAACCATTTATGCCTCTATATTTCCTATAAAGAGCATTTTATGTTCATCTCATGAATTTTAGTATGTTGTATGTTCACGTTAATTTATCTCAAAGAATATTGAGATTTTTTTCTTGATTTTTTTTCTTTGAACCATTGTCTACTTTAGAAAGTGGTGTAACATTCACATATTCATAAGTTTCCCAAATTTTATTTTGCTATTGATTACTAATTTCATCCCATGGTGGTTATAGCATGTTTTGTATGAATAATATAATTCTCAAGCACTAAACACCACAGAAATAGACCTTTAGAAATCACGTGCAAAGTAATTTGAAGAGTGACCTCAGGGAATCCAAGTGAGATAGAAAGGAATACCAATAATTCAACAAAATCAGAGAGCAAGTCAGGATCCTAATGACAAATTCAAACATAGTACCAAACAGAAACTTTGAAACTGGAGAGTCAGTGAATGAGAGGTGGAAAAAAGTAGCTTCAACAGCAAAGGAAATAAAAGAGGAGAAGGAATGCTGGAATATGAAGACAAGAGTTTTGTACAACCTACTCAGATGAAAAGAAGGAAAATTCTGACAAAGAGCCAAAAGTCCATGTGACTAAAGGGAACAATTAATTAGACAAATGTCCTCATCATAGCAGTTTCACAGGGAGAAAAACACAAAAATGCAGAGAGCTTAGCTGATGTAAAAACTGCTACAAAATCTCAAACCTTGCGTGGGATTCATAAAGCTCAAAGATCAAATAATGTTCAGCCCACAGAGCTCTTTTTTCAGGCATGTGATAACTAAACCATCAAAGCTTAAAACCCAATGAATTCTAAAAACAATGAAACAGAAAAAGCATAAGGCCTATGTACTTCAGACTGCAACTAACCATGAGCAGATTTCTCAGCAAGAAGCCAGCACCTTGGAAAACTAGTATATTCAAAGTGCTTAAAGAAGAAACGTGGACTCAAAAATAACCTGCCACCCAAGAATGCTCCGTGCAGCAAGGCTATTTTTCAGAAATAAAGGTCTTACACACTAGAAAGGCAGAGGGAATTCATAACTATAGTTACATTGGCCCCATAAGAAATATTTGACGGAGTACTTCACCCACAAGAGAAAGGAAAATAACTCCTCTCAGGAACAAAGGAAACCTCAAGGGTTGGGGTAAATTAATAACCAAATTCAAAACACTTCATCACACGAATAGCAGTCTAGAGTCTTTCAGTCTCGAGTACAAAGAGTCAGCGGGGAAATAGACCAAGAAAAATGCATCTGCTGAAGCTGGAAAGGAACACACAATACGCAAATATCTAAAGGAAGCCAGAAAATGATGAACAATTTACAAGGGCAAACTTTAGAGGTTTTGTACATGAACTCAACTTGTTACCAGCCCAAATAGTATATAATATCCCTAAAACTTTCTACAAAGCCCAGTAGTAGCCACATAAAATAGCAGTACACTCATAGACACACACACTCACACCTATATTCAAAACAAAGAAATTAACCCTGTCACTGCTGAGAACCACAAAGCACAAAGTGAGCAAAGAGAAAACTCCAAACAAAAGAATGGTACAAAATAGCCAGAAAATTGGTAACAAAATGCCAGGAGTGAGTCCATATCTGTGAATCGTAACCGTGAATGTAAAGGAAAGAAATCACCCAATTAAAAGAGAAAGAGTTGGAAACATTTTTGTTGAATATTTTCCCAAGAAACCAGGATCGACCAGAACCTTGTGCTTGCCAGGCAGGCACAGTGCCACTGAGCTACATCCCTGGGCCCCTGAAACTATTTTAAAAAGTCATGCAATTGCATGCAGTCTACAAGAGACTCACCTACCAGGAAAGGACCCAGAGACTGAAGGTCAAGGGATAGGAAATCGTGCTCACTGCAAATGGAAATCAAAAGACACAAACACTAACTGTAAGATGGACTCGTTTCTTGTGGGCAGTGCTGGATTTGTTCATTTAAATAAACACTACTTATATTTACAAAACATGCTGACTTTTTTTCAAGAAGGTGAAAAGCACTCTTTAAACATTAGATGAAAGTTCCAGCATGGCTCGTGGAGCTGTTCCTTCCCAGAAGCACTTCAGTGAAGGACTCAGCCACCAGGAAGCTGTCACGGTCCATGGAGACGGCTCAGGACAGGAAAGCTGCTCCTCACAGCTCAGACCTAGCAGACACGCACTGCCCATGGCAAGGGCGGGGTCTGCGTTTGGGCAGAGGAGCACATTTCCTAGGGCTCCACGGGCTTAGAAAAGCCACTGCATGTAGGACAGCACCCATGGACATCTTCAAAGTAGACTGCACAGCAGCTAAACTCAAACAGTGAATTGCAAAGCTCGGAGTGAGTGACATCACAGAGTGGACACTGTGACCATCAGGACCCAGGCTGGCTTCTGCCCCTCGAGTAGCCACAAGCACCTCAGGGCCTCAGGACAGAAGGCCAGGAAGTCCCAAGACCCTAACACCAAGGGCAAGGGACAACCCCTGCATCCTCGCCTCCATACACCGAGGCCCCTCTGACTCTAAAACAGACGCTAAGTAAAAGTGTATGAGGACAGACAAGGCTGCACATAACGATGAAGGTGCCATTTCTCCATGAGTATAGAGTGACTGAAAATATATATGCACCCAAAACTACAGACCATCACCATAAGAACCAAATGTTAATACATCTCAGCAGAGAAAGAAATGACAAATAACTGTTAGCAAAAAATAACAAACCTCTCTTTCAAATATGAAAATCACCCAGACAAAAAATCAGCCACAAAGTCACTATCTTATACTCTAAGTGGATTTAACACCTACTTACAGCACTATTCTCAAAAAAGACATAAGAACTTGATTTCTTCTGAGCAGCACAAGGAAACTTCCCCAGTAGAGATTACATGCCAGGTCCCAAAACCAGTCACAACATATTGTTAATAATGGAAATCACATCAAATGTATGTTCCGAACATAAAACCATACAACGAATCAACTCAGAAATCACCAACAAGAACTTGAGAAATTGTAACATGCAAGGAACTGCAACTAGAGGGTCTTGAATGGTGAGAGACGCACCAAGTAAACTTAAAATGAAATTGAATGATTTTGAAAAGACAAAATGAAATGGAAACACGTTATAACACACGTAAATGCACCAGAAGTAGTTCTCAGAGAGAAGTTAGGAGCAATAAAGCCCAATTTCCTCTAAGTAGGAAAATCTCAAATAAGCAATGAATTGTTACACCACAAGAAACTACAAGAAAAGTAAAACTGGAATTGGTGGGGAAAAGACACAAGGAAAGGAAGACAAAAAGTTAAACAAAATAGAAGATTAATTAATAGGTATATATAATCAAAAAAAATCAGACAACGACAAAAACAAAACATCAAAAGTGACAGACTTTTATGCAGACATACACCTTCCCTCCCTCCACCCTCTGGCTCTGAGCCTTCTCCTAGCCGACCCATAAATACAGCCTCGCTCCTCCCTCCCACACACCGGGATCCTGCTCTCCACCCTCCAGTGACTCCCAGCCATGAGGACCCTCGCCCTCCTCACTGCCATTCTCCTGCTGGCCCTGCAGGCCCAGGCTGAGCCTCTCCCAGGAATTGCTGAGGAGGATCTGGAACAGCAGCAGCCACTGCAGGAGAACCAGGACATGGCCATCTCCTTTGCAGGGCCTGAGCACTCTGGTCTTCAACCCCAAGGTGAGAGACCCAATGGGATGGCGGTGTGGAGTCTAGAGAGGAAGGTCCAGAAATGGGCTGTGGGAGCAGGTCTCGAAAGACCCAGGTCACTTAGTTTTGTATGTTTAATTTCTGTGGGCCTTCACTTCCTATGGAAAAAACTGAAATCTGACAGCCAAATAAGTCAAGAGATGGTCTTCTTCCAAAGACTTTTCATTCCAAGATATGTCATACTGAGAGTGCGGGGCCTGACTTCCAAGGGTCATGTATGCTGCAGCTGCAGGCAGGACTGAATGGGAGCTGAGGACACCACAGTAGTGGGCACTGAGATCTGCAGACGCTGGGCAGGGTGGCCCAGCTCCCCTACTGCTCCTTCTCCAGCTGCTGCCCACCACGTGGGGATTCCATCCGGCCTCAGCCTGCCTCCTTCCTCCCGTGAGCTCAGGGTCGTGTCTAAACCCCATCTCCGCAGTGCCCAGCTGCCACTGGCTGGGTGGGTGGGACTCTTCCTTCTGTCTGACCTCTTTCTCTCTCAGATACTCACTGACCCTTGGGCCCACATCTTGCACATCAGCAAGCCACCAGAAACTCCTGCCAATGTGTCCAGCGCGATCAGAGACTCACTGTATCTACTCTGGTTTGACTATTTCCAGCTAAGGGTTCCACAGCACAGGTGTGACAAAAGGACATGTGAGATTGTCCATGGCTATGCTTGCCAGTGTGGTCACTGGGAGAATGTCCCACAGTGCACAAGGTCCTATGCCGACAGAGAAAGTGCAGTCTTCAAGGCAAGGGTGTGATTTCAAGAGCTATTGTTCACCACGCTTGACTAAAATAGCTGACGGGCCACAGAGGGCCATGAGGCTGTGATCCCAACACTAAAATCAATGCCAAGACTCCCAGAGAGGGGACATGAGATGTCCCCTGGATTCTGACTTAGAGGAATCTCAGTCCCTGAGTGAGGTGCTGGCAGTCAGAGGAGGCCACTATAGCTGTCTACGACCCCACTGTCACCTCCTAGGGCACAAATGGAAACAGGGACCTCAGCAAGGACAGAGGAGGCTGTGGGTCTGACACAGATGGGCCAGCTCTTCCCACCAGTGTGGACAGTAAAAGTTTGAGGTAAGGATTCAGGCAGCAGTCTTCGGGTTCCCCTCACTGCCACTGATTCGAATTTACTTTATCAGTAACTCTGGGATCAAACTCTCCAGGTTCACAAGTAAGCCTAACGTGAACCTCCCAAGTCGATTTTCCCTTACTGCATTTATATTAAATTAATATAAATGTATATTAAATCCAGTGTATATTAAATCCTACTGTCTTAGCTGATGAAAGGAAGTGCATAGTCATGCTTCCCAAAACCAAGAATAGTTTTCCTTAGGACACAAAAACAGTTCAAGCACAGTTAATATGTAGAAAATAAACATCTCCTATTGATCAAGCCTCTAGATTCTCAAAACATGTTCTCCCATCAGTGCCTACGGGCCGGTGGGTTTCCTCTCTTCTCGGGGCCTCTGCTGAGAACACTGCGATGTTAACTTGTGGCTGTTCTGCCCAGGCAGGTGCAATCCCAGGATGCCCAAGACTTTTGGCCCCACACTCCCCTCACTGGGGGAAGGGAAAGGAATACATCCCACCAGGGAACAACTGCATCTGGCTTCCAGTTACCTCTGCTTCACACAGGGCAGGCGTCTGTCCTGCCTCTTACAATCAGAGCCAAGGGATTCTGCTCTTCACCTGGCCTTATTTTTACAACCTTAGGGCCACCGTCCAGCCAACTCCCTGCTTTCAGGTTCCCTGTGCTCTTTGGGCAGTGTCTGGGGTCTTTAAGCACGGGGGCAGCCACTCCTGTATTAGGAGAACCTCTTGGAGCCCCGCTTACAATGTGCTGTGCTCTAAGACTCAGCATTCTGACAGTCTAAACTCCGGGGAGGTTTAGAATCAGGAGACAGAAATCCAGGGCTAGTTCCAATACGTGCTAGAAAAATCTCAAAAGACAGGTCAACCTGACTCAAGAGCAACTGACCTCTCTGCCCTGTCTAGAAACCTTCCAAACTCCTACTTTGCTTTCCCAGCTTCCAAAAGAAAGCACCATTTCACCATATCTTCTTAATCCTAGAAGATCTGTTTTAAAATGTAGATTGAGGAAATCATTTTACAATTGATAAATTCATTCAACTTTAACAAAATGCACAATAAAGGTAAGTTGTAAGAATATCACGTAACATAAAGCAATACTTTCAAAAGAGATCTTTTGAACAAAGAGCTTATAAGTAATTTTGAATTGAAGAAATAGACTAATAATGCCTCCATTTATTGAGTAAAATCAGGTCAAATATCTGAAATTACATTGATCAAGGCATGTACTAAGGACAGCATGTAATGTGGCCGAACAGCTCCCTTCTCTCTGTCACTGACAATTCTGTTATATTTGGCCCCAAACCATTAATGGACCAGATGTATAGGAGGGGGTACATCTAGAAATATTATCATTAATTTGGATTTGTTATCATTTCTTTTGTTTTTCTTATCTTTTGAGAAAACTTAATTTTTAGATAAAATTTACATATCACACCATTCATACGTTTAAAATGTAAAAGTGAATGCTTTTTAGTTTATTTGCAGATGTGTGCATCTCTAAAGTAAATCAATACCTTTCTACCCTCCAGTCTCTCTGCCCTTTGGCTCTAAACAGCCATGTTTCTGCTTTCTATCTCTACAGATTTGTGTATCACGGAGATTTCACATGGATAGAGTCATGTCGCACATGATCCTTTATGTCTGACCCCTTTTGCAAGCTTTTGTGTAGCTCTACATTCTCTCATCTCTTGAATATTTACATAGGATTGGCATTTCAGGGTCACAGCATGCATCTATTTTTAATTTATCTTAAACATAATGTGGCTCGATCCAAATTTCATATCTTATACATTCAACATAAATTTTTAGATGGATATAACTTTTCAAATAAATAAAAGACCATAAAATTATTAGTCAAGATATGGAGGTAAATTCTTGCAAACTTAAGTAGGGGAAAAAACTAGAAACCACATGAAGAAAGTCCAAACAAATGGGACAAACTGTGAAGAACATTTGCCAGAGAAGGTGGACAGGTCCCAGAAGGTAAATACAACATTTTCTCAAACGTAAGAACTATGCCCAAGCTCTCTCACTATAAGAGAAATACAAAACAAAAATCTCTTAGATACCAAATTTTTCTTCCAGATACAGAAAGATCAGAAAGTTTCATTTTACAAATCTCAGTAATGAACTGCAAATAAGGAAAGTTTATCACAGTATAACAAGAATGAGGAGTTTTTCCCAATTGGAAGTCAGTCCGAATGTGGACTGGTAGGCAGCACGTGGGGTGGGGAGTGTGAACCCTAAGTGTGCACTGGAGGCTCTAGACAGGGCTTCCCCATCTCACTGTCCCCAAGCTTTGAAAACACTGCCACCTGCAGGGCTCTGTCATCAGCCAACCTGCTCATGGCCACAGCTGGGCCAGGAAGAATTTAGCTGACACATTGCTACCTTGAACACAGGGAAGACAAAAACGGGAGAGAAATTGGGTGATGACCAATAAGGCTTCCTTCTTTTCTCTATTATCTCAGTGCATTGTTCTTCTTGTTGCCATCGTTATTGTACTATTTTGAAAAGAATGTGTAGTCTCTTAGCTGACTTTTAAAGATTCAGGATAGTCTGAACCTTAGGCACAATGTTGTACAGCAGATCACTGGAACTGATTCATTTTACACACCTGTAAATTGCATATTCATTGACAAAAGAAACCATTAACAGTGTGCAAAGACAACCAAAGGATTAGGAGAAAATATTCACAAACCTTATGTGCAAGGAGTTAGCATAGAGAATATATTTTCTACTTAACAGTCAAAAATACCTAATAATCCAACTAACAAATGGACACAGGATTTCAATAGATAATTTCTCCAAAGAAGACATACAAATGGCCTTTAAGCATGTGGAAACATGGACTGTATCACTATTGTGAGGAAAATAGATCACAGCCACAATGAGAGGTCACTAAAAATGCCTTGTAAAACCTCCATCTGGAGTGGGGTGGCAGCCAGGCTGGCAGACTTCTGTTTGTGCACAGGGGACCGTGGCATTGATTGTGCCCAGAGCAGCCTGCAAGCAGTGCAGTGGTGAGGAGCTAACCCCACAGTCAGCTTGCTTAGAGAAGGGAATCCGGCCGAAGCCTATGTGCCGAGGTCAGAGTATCTGGCACTCCTATATCTAACACTCTCTTAACTAGAAGGACAAGGTTCTAATTACAACCATATGTTTTGTCTATTCTGTTCCTAATTTGAGAATGCTTTGTCTTTTTCCTTTACAAGGCTTGCCTGTGTTAGTCTCCATAGAAACTGCACAACTGCACTTCCTCACACATAGTCCCATCCTCGCACACAGCTTGCCTTTACCTCAATTGATACTAATAAAACTAATTGGCTTGGACTGACCTGTGCTGGATGAGCAGTGTTAGTCATCCTGGCTCCCCTGTTTCTCTTTAGTTCTCTTTGTCTCTTCAGTTCTTTTAGGTTTTTATCGCCAACCTTATGCCATAGCACTGAGCAAGAGATCAGAAGCTACTGCAGAGGGCTCTGATATTAGTGCTGCTGCCCAACTTCTAGAGAGGGGAGTTTAGTCATATCTGTCAAATGCACTAGGTCTTATTAGACCTGGTGAATCAACTTCCAGGGTCTATCCTTCAGACATAACCATTTGTATCCTGACACAAAATGACATATTAGTACTGAGATAGTCAATAAAATTTTGTTCCTAATGGTAAAAAATGTGAGAAAATAGATTGCATTAATTTATCAATAATTAATCAATAAAAATAATTAATTATGGCATGGATTAATACTGGAATTTGGAGAAGTTATTTAAGGAGACAGCTCTCTACATACTGGTATACAAATATCTGTACGTTATATAGGAAAGAGCAAAGTAGTGCACGTGGACCGAGGAGAGGGACTGAGGCCCTGGGACTTCCAATACTTAGAGTAAGAGAATAAGGGGTGGCGGCCACACATGCAAAGGGAAATGAGGCGTGTGCCCTGCAGGCCAGGAGATGACCCTGTGCAGTGCTGCTCAGAGTCGGAATCAGGTGAGCACAAAGCCATCTGGGAAATGCAGCGTGGAGTCATCAGTGACCTACACCTGCTGGAGAGGCTAGGATGCAAGAGTGGAGAAGGTAAATGCGGAGGCCTGGCCTGACTAAGGGATTCAGGGAACTTGAAGGTCAGCAGCATTTATGGGCACAGATGCAGGTGCCCCTATGGGGAGCAAAGTGTGTAAGTTCCCTTCTGGTTTCTCATTTCTTTGGAAAATGAAGTTAAATTATTGTTGAGAGCAGGGCAGGGAGAAGCAGCTGATGGAGGGGAGAGGGGAGGTGTGAGGCATTGTCTGGGGCGTGCGCAGGCGGCAGGCACAGGAGACCGGCGGAGGGCAAGTGGCCATCAACTGGAAGTCAGACCACTCGGCAGGGGTCTGTTTCTTTCTTCAACCACATCCCACTCCACAGGG